ATATATAACTTCCAATTTCTCTATAAATATATTTAAATGGAGTTGAAAATTCACTTATCAAAGAGTTTTCATTCATTTTAAAATTTGAAAAATATTCTTTCACACAATATATATTTTAGCTAATTTTAATTTATGTAAATTCTTAAATATTTCTCTTCTAAAGGCTGTTCGCCAATCTTTTGAAGCGTGTCATGATATAGGTATTCGCCAGTCAATTGCCATTCAACGCATCGTTTGCAGCACAGTCAGCGTTAAATGAGCGTGCAGAATACCAAAATAATATTCATAAATAAATACACACGCCCACGCGCACACACATACATATATATAAGATATGTATACACATTTATTTATATGCATATATCATACAAAAGGTTCTGGGCCCATTTGAAAGGTGCAAATTTACAGACTTTATGATTTTTGGCAATTCGAGCCACAGGCACAATTCATAGAACATGTATGGGTGTGTGTGTGTTTGAGTATGTGTGCGTGTGTGTGTGTGAGCAATATGTTGAGTACGTGTCTGTTAGTCATCATAATATTTTACATTTTTATGAAGTGCGAGACGCCGCTGAGGGCATCGCAATAAAAATCTTATTTTGTGGGTTATAAAAGTGCAAAAGAATCGAGTGGAACGGAAGGGGGTGGAGAAGGGAAGGTGAGCTGCAGAGCCAAAGCTGGTTAACATTTGCAGAAGTTGCCATTTGCGCTGCGCACTTTTAATGTGCCAACAGAGCTGCCCTTTAATATTATTATTATTATTATTATTTCTCTTTTTTTAATGATTTATCGGCATTTAAGTGTGGCGAAAAGCAGGGGCAGCAAGCGCATCGTAAATTTTTTGTGCGCCTAATTTAATGCAACAATTTCGGTCTGTACTTTTTTTTCTTTACTCTCTTTACAGTTATTTTGGCTTGCATATGACTGTCTCGCTCGCACACATATACCATATACACTTATCAGTGTGAGCGCCAGTGTTGTGTGTGTGTGTGTGTTTTACATGTTCGTATGCATGTGTGTGTGTGTGTGTACATAAATGTAAATTGAGTTTGGCGTCTAAAGTACTTTGTAATTTATGGCATGCAATGTGCGTAAGAAAGTCACGTGATAACTTCATCTCCTCTCTCGTTCACTCTTCCTTTCCTCCCTTCCTCTCTCTCTCTCTCTCTCTCTCTCTCTCTTTCCTTTATTCTGTTTTTCTTCCTGAAACACTCTCATTATTTCGTTATGCTTGTGTGTGTGTCTGCTGCGTGTTTATTTATGACTGTTTAGCCACATTTTGCATGACGAAATCATAATTTTCAGCACTCAACTCGACTCGACTCGACTCTCAACTCAACTCAACTCAACTCTCGACCCTGGCAGCCATTTTGACATTTTGTTTGTTTCCTGCGGCTGCCGCGTAACATATATGATAAGTACGTGCAATATATTAGACGAAAAGGAATTCTCATGTTGAGCTTATTAACATTATCAGACTTGGCATTTGTTATTCCGATTACACACAGATTAGGTGGTTCATTTGGGGCTTAACGTTTTTAGACTTTCCAAATAAATAACAGAGCACACGAAAAACATTGCATCAACACGAGCTCAATATGGAAAATGAAAAATCTAGATTTACATGTTAGATGAAAAAATAAAATATTTAGATTATAAAACATACTTAGCGTTAACTTGACCATTCACTTAATTCATTCTGAATTGTATGCATACAACAAAATATCACAGGTAAAAGAGTTAGGATGAAATAAAATATAAATAAGTAAATTATCAATTAAGCCTCTCTGCCGCAATGATAACTATATAAATATAAATTAAATTAAAAAGAACTTGCAAACTGAAAATATTATTCTATTATCTTCAGCAAACTTAACTCCTTCTGCATATTCTAGCCTGCAAGCTTGTTAACCGTATTAAACATTAAATTTAACCAGCACTTAATTCATTCACAATGATTTAACCAAAATTTACCAGCTTATCCAAGTCGGGTAAAAGCAATTCAGGCATTACAAACTTTAGCAAATTCGTTGCGGGTACTTTTGGCCAACATGAACGCATGTTCTATATGACATAGGCAAACTTTTCCATTAAATTTGTTCAAAACTTCCAAGTTAACTGTAACTTTCAATGACTTTTTGCATTCAACAGTCCATTTACCTAGCCATACTCCCACACACACACACACACACACATGTAAACGCACAAGCACACACACTAACCCACAAGCACAGTTGTTCAAATAAGTTACACGCCAGGCAACGAAAATTTGTTTGCTCTGCCTTTGACCAAAGTTAGTTTAACCAACTTAAGGGCATTTTATTTACTTTAAAGTATTTATACTTTGTATTATAATAGTACTGGGGTTTATATTCAAGTTCTGGAAGATGACTTCAGTGAAAGTGTATTTTATCTTTTACATTCTACCAATGCATGGCATTTTGCAAAACAGATTTATGTTAAACTAAAATAGATTATGATTAAGATATTCTTTTATTTATTCCAATATTATATTTATCACACAGACACACTACTATTATTATGACCGCAGCTGCATATACATATTTCAGTGAAGGTAGCAGAAAGGGAGATATAGGTATATATGATATATACATATACATATATACATGTGTATATCTCATATATATCTATATCTCTTTTTCTGCCACATTCACTGAAATTGAAAGTCTCAAACATTCCCCGCAATTAAACATTTCTTAAAATACTTTTAGAATCACAGACAAAAAACTATTCTCAAATATATTAGCTCAATTTTGAGACTAGTTACTAACTGTAGTTTGAGAAACAAATATCTGTATTTCATTTACATCTGTGCGTATTTAAAAGTCCGTTTTCGTCAACAAAAACAGTTTGAGCTTCTGCGCCAACACATTACCTAGAAATCTCTTTTATATTCCATAAATACCTTAACTTAATTAACCCTTACAGTATGTAATATATTTACTCTACAGCTGTACCATTTTATTGATCCGAGCAGCCAACACCCTTTTAGCTTGTGAATTGATTTCTGTAAAGGTGTAAGCCCTCCAGCTTTAACATAAAAGCTCGGAAAAACGCATCCTGAAAATTGAAATGCATTAAAACTGGCAAAAACATAAGCGCAGGTAATAAACAACCGAACTGCAAATGCGCATTGGCGAGTTCCACAGCAAAAAAAAAAACTAAATCCAAGAATACAGAAAAAAAAATACATTGCCGTGAGCGTGACTGTGCCAGCTGTAAAAGCGTCGAACCGAAAATCAAAGACATAAAAAAGAGAAGCGCGCTGAAAACTCGCAATTTATTAAATCGATAAAAATAAAAAATATTTTTAGCTCTGGCTTTTTTTTTCTTTTTTTTTTGTGCAGTCAACAAATATGTTGTACCAGCACTTAAAGTCAACCTGTGGCGCCCATATAAAATATGGCTCCAACTTCAAATGGGTGCTACAGTAGAGCTTAAGTAAAATAAATCATAAGGAATAGAAATAAAAATAAAATATATGATGAGCTGTACTCCAGATTTTCTAACTTCATTCCAAGCTCTAATATTTAATTTGTGATTTTACCATTAGTGGACCCACTGCTGTCCACTCGCTGCCACAGATTACTGTAGCTACAGTAAACGTGCAGCAGAACAAAATGAGATTTCGGCCAAATACCATAAAAAGAAATGAGCTAGATTTCAGTAAGGCCGAGGCAGCATCTCGCCGAATGGGTTTTAAGTTCTTTCTATGGAATTCAAGGACCTCGCCCAGACGGCGATGACAAAGCACAAGCTGGAGCAAGGCAAGACAATGAGCGAAATATATTGATTTCACCTAGTTTCGGATTGCAGATGCCTCCCAGGCAGCCTTTGACTCAGTTACACAGCCTTGTTTGTTCTGTTCTTGTCTATCTGAGTGCGAGTGCCTCAGCCTGGGCATGGGCATGGACATGGGCATGGGTGTGTCTATTGCAAATAGTAAAGCAAACAATTGAAAGTTTTAGCTAAATGAAAATACCAGAAAAATAAAAGTTCTTTTCTGAGAGAAATTCGGTAATTCTTTAAATATTTTCATTTCAATTGGAATTCTAAATGCTTTGTTAGAAATTCCTCCTTAAAGTTGAGTTACGACTCGATGTAACTGTAGCATATTATAAGATAATCTTCTAATTGTCAAGTATATTTAAAAATTTATAAAAACATCTCAAATAAAGAAATAAATAAACAAGTAAAAACTAAGTGGATATAACAAACTTAAATTTAAATAAATAAATAAATAGGTAAATAAATAATATAAATAAATAAATAATATAATAACAAAAATATGAATCAAATACTTTTTACGACCATTTCGTTTATTTTCAGCATTATTACGAATTTGATTATTATTATTTTTTTAAAAAATACATTTGATAATTTTTCTTTCAATCTCAATAAAAATAATTTAATGTTTTATAATTTAAATGAAATTGTAGTTATTTCCGTTTCGTGCAAAATGCTTCGTTTTTATACATATTTATTGAAGCCTTCCCAGAATTACTTTCTCACACACACACGCACGCACTTTTCCATCCCATCAAAAAAGTGCCGTTAGGCCTATTTGGCTGCGCCTTTTGCCAGATGCGTTGATGGCTCAAAATATGATTAAATTTATGCGAATGCGGGACGCAACATGGAAACTGTTGACTGTTGCTAGAAGACGACATGCCCCAAGAGGCACGCACCGCAAAAAGCATGCAGGCTTAGAGGCAACAGAAACTTGCCTCCTGCCTCCCGCTTCCTGCCTCCTGCCACTTGCCACATGCCACGTGCCTAGATTTCGACATTCACAGCTGAGATTGGGGGCAAGTGAGGCCTGTCGGAGGCCAAGTTGGGTCCCCGGTATGTCACTGGGACTAGAGGCGTGGCATGTGAATTAAAACATGTTCGAGTTATTAACAAGCCCCGAAAGTCGCATTAGTTTTTGCCGGCTACAGCGCTTGTCTTCGCATTTGTTATGCTACAAGTCCTCGCTCTTTTCGTGCTACATGCAGCTTGCAGCACGTACATAAAACTTGCTTCTATTTATTTGCACAAAATATTTACATTTGCTCAAAATTATGCGGCAAACGGGGCGTGGCGCAACTATTTTACAAGTTTTTAGGCAACATAAAAGACAGTTGTCGTCGTCGTCGTTGCGAGCCAGATACGGGGGCATGGTCGCAACTTTTTGTACGTCTGCTGACTTTTCGGTGGGTGCCATAAAGTTGGCCGGGTTAAGCAGCACCCGCGGGTGCAACACGAACAGACGTCGCCATAGCTGCCATGCCCCGCCATGTTGAAAGGCTATCAGAAAAGTTTCTACCCCGGGTATTTGGAGAACTAGGTTTATTTATTTCATTCTGCTTTCATACTACTACTTCTTCTTCTTCTTCTTCTTCTTCTTCTTCTTCTTTTTAATGGCATACAAGACAAGTTTTAAATGCTGTTTGCATGTCGCGCGGTTGCTTAGCTTCACAAATTAGCCGAATTTAGCGCCTCATTTGTGGAAAGGCATCAGATTATTTACGGGAAATGTTAAAACAACTAGCAACAAATGACAGGAAATTTTCAATTATATTTTACGTAAAGTTTTTGGAGCATTTTTAAATGATTTTCAATATAAGCGGGTCATATCTACCTTATAAATTATGAATATAAATGGATTATAAATTTGACTTTTGAAGTTAACAAGTAAGTGGGGAATTACTGACCAAAAAATGCTCATTCATGCCTTAAACTCTTCCTCATATCTTATATTTATACCAATTTAAGAGTATTTAAAGGAAAATTATTATAATTAATAAATAAATAGTTTTGAATATTTATATTCAATTACAATTCAATATAAATATTCAATATTATTTATTTATTTATTTTTTATATTTCTAATACTTACTGTTTGCTTAAGTAATTGCCATTCGCCGTAGAACGTCAAGGAAGTGTCTTTAAATATTTATTTTGTAAATTTAAGGCCAACTTTTGTTGGATACATTTTCAATTTTAATTTCAACTGTCAATTAATGTCTAAATTTTTGAAAGCTGGAGTGTGACTGTGTGTGATCTGAGTGAGATGAGTTAGTGTGTGTGACTTGAACTTGGCTTTAGCTTTACACCTGGCTAAAACCGACAGCAACAAGAAACAAGAGAAAAAGCTGAAACAGAAGCCGCAACAGCTCATGAATGAAGTTCATCGAATTAGCGTGTTGCGAGGTGTGAATGTGACTTTGTGCGATGAGCAGACTTTAAATAGATATTGACAGTGCACAGATATAAAAGAGTAAATAGAGAGAGAGAAAGAGAGAGAGAAACCGTGAGAGAGAGCTAGAGTGAGAGAGAGAGAGACCACTAAGCAAAGTTCGCCTGTCGTTTCCATTGTCTCTGGCTCGTGTCATGCCTCTGACGCTATTTATAAAAGTCAGTGACACAGTAACTTGTTTTTGCCAGCCTCTAAGCGGAGTATGGTGCTCGTTTTGCCACTTCTAGCACACACAGAGAACTCTTTTTCCGCTTTGATAAGCAAGTTCTTTTGTTCCAGCGCTCATACTAGATATATGTATAAAAAAAATGGGCTGAATATACAGCAAGAATTCATGGTTCCTTTTGTTATATTTGTTGCTGTGGCTTTTGTTCGGGCGAGGCTCGAGCTGCTGCTGCTGCTGCTGCTGACTGGACCAGACACATGCGATATGGATATATGTATATCTGCCAAAGATTTAACACTGCACTAGATACTGATCCCTCTCTGTATGTATGAATGTGTATGTGTGTGTGTGTGTTTAGCATGAATACATTTTGCGTGCAATTTTGTATTTTTAGTTGCATTAAATTTACGAGAAAGTGGAACGGATTTTAAATGTAGCTGCATAGAATATGCAACCTTATAGAAATTTTAGCTATTCTTATCATAGTTGTTGCTGAAATATTGAAGCTACTTCTTTGGTATATAATATTTAAAAATTATATTCAATGCAAATTATATGAATATTATTCATCAGAATTGACTTTTGGCTGAGAACCATATCAAGAGTTGTATAAGAAATTTGTATTTCTTAACTCAAGTATTTCTGTTCAAAGTTTCATAAATATAATATTTATGATAGTAGTCAATAATCGGATTCTGATATACAGACTTAAATAATAAAGAATTCACCCACAGCCAGTGTTGCTTTACGTGAATAAAAGCTTTCAAAATACTTAACACATTTCATTTTCAATTGTTTATTAAACAATTTAAAACTATGTTTTATTTTTAAGCTGCTTCACATCGTAGGGATTTGGCAAACATTCTTGCAATACTTTGTGCAACAAAAATTCTCGTTTTAAGCTCTTCAAACAATAAATTATTATAACGCCCAGACCAGTTAGGCCTTTTCGCATAGATAGCTGTCGAACTTTGAGCAGTTGAGTCCCGGCTTTTGCTCACACATCAAGTGAACCTTTCCACACTTTTGACAGGGTTGCCAGCATTGATTTTTCCTTCAGCTGAGCTCCGACACGTGCCCACGGGGATCTAGCTGCGTTGACTATTTGGGTTCGGCACTCAAACAGAGTTGTTTTCCGGTAATTTGCCTATTTGGGGCTAAGACGCTCATTTGTCTTGCGCAAATCCATTCTGGGACCTTGTTCACCTATGCTCCACAGACACTTGACAGGCCAGGGCTCCCCCAGATATCCATGTCAATGCTGATTAATAGGCGTGGGGCAGAACGCTTGAATTGATGCCAAATACTTGCAGATTGAGCATTTAAATGCAAATTATCGAGCTTGAAAACGTGGCCAAAATCAAAGTTGAACACTCGGAATGTCGAGAAAGGCTATAAAACGCAGCCATCATTACGAACAGAGCTGTCTGGTTCCATTTATTTTATACATTTTTCCTCTCTCGCTCTTTGACTAACCGAAAAACAATTGAACTGAATTTCAGCAATTGAAAACACATTCTACAATTATTTTTCCTTTATTATAATTATTTTGCAGTTGGCTCGCGGGACTCAACGGGCAGCAGTGGCAGCTCCTCTGGCGGTAGTTCTGGCAGCTCCTCCTCCTCATCATCATCGTCATCGTCATCATCGTCTTCTTCTTCCTCATCGGGTGGCGGTGCAAGCAAGTATCCGGTACTGGTGTTTGTCCACGGCGAATCGTACGAGTGGAACAGCGGCAATCCCTATGACGGCTCGGTGCTGGCCAGCTACGGACAAATATTGGTGGTGACCATAAATTATCGCCTCGGAGTGCTCGGTAAGTGCACACGAGCACAAACGCACACACACACACACACGTGTATGCACTCCGATGCTAATGCTAATGCTAATTGATATGCTGCTTTAATCGGTCCACCGAAACGAGCCAAACGCTTGCAACGTGTCCATTGGCTGAATCGCTTTTAAGCTACTGCAGCAGCAACTGCACTTCCGCTCAGCAGCAGCAGCAGCAGCGGCAGCAACTGCAACAACAACAACAACTGTTGCAACATCAGCGAATGCCCATTCCATAATCTAACTAATTTAGTTAGCATCTAGTGGAAAAACTATATACAATACTGTGGAACAAAACTCACAGAAAATTCAATTCAATATATTTCAATATACTTCGTTGATCTTTTACAGTCATCTATTTTTTTAACGATAGAAATAAATACATCTCATAGTGAAGAAACAAATATGAAATTATGAAAAATATAAAAAATTATTTGAAAAAATTAATGCATAGTATAAACCACGCATGCTTCATTTCAATTAAAAATTGAATATTTGGATTCAAATTTTATTTAAATATTATTTCAATATATTTTATTTATTTGCTACTATTATTTAAATTCATTTAATTTTTACAAGATTTGAAATTTTTAAGTCACAAATATTTGTCATATAAAGAACAAGGAATCATATTTATTTTTATCGATATTTTTTAAATTATAATACTTTTATTAATATTTAATGATTTTTTATTATATTTTATTTAATTATTTTATTTTAATGTAAAAATATATATTTATTCCTTATTATATAAAATATTAGTAAAATCAATTAATCAAATAATTATATCAAGATAAATACTTACTTATTTAATATTTTTATAAATTTAATATATTCGATATTTCATTTATAATATTTAAATTAAAATTTTATTGACGGCAGTGAAGCTTCCGTAGCAATTTTAATATACTTTCTGCCCACTGTAAAAATTCAAATGCAGAGCAAATTAGTGTGACCTCATTTGAAAGCACTGCCTGCACCACTTCGACCCTCCCCAATTGTGGCCACCCTCCCGGGCAGTTTTCTACTGGTACGGCTGCTGCGGAAACGGAAGTGCTGACATCATGATTTGCACGCGTGACTGTACACGTTTTCGCAAGTGTTGCGCCGATGTGTCTGACATTTTAAATAGTCGCCAGACTTCATTAAATTTAAATCTACTGCTGCTGCTGCTACTGTAGCGATTAATCGATGTGGAAGAAAATGCTGATGAATTCTGCGGTACTTTTGCAGGATTTTTAAATGCCAACACGGATCGCTATTCTAAGCTGCCAGCAAATTACGGCCTGATGGACATCATTGCGGCCCTGCATTGGCTAAAAGAGAATATTGCGGCATTTGGCGGCGATCCCAACAGCATAACCCTAGCGGGACATGGCACTGGTGCGGCCTGTGTGCACTTTCTGATATCATCGATGGCGGTGCCGGAGGGTAAGCAAAGCGCTATAGACTTGAATGTTTATGCCTCCCTCACATCCCACCTTGGTTTGCAGGTCTGCTCTTCAACCGGGCCATGCTCATGTCCGGCTCGGGCCTGGCACCGTGGTCTCTGGTCAGCAATCCCGCCAAGTATGCGGCCATCGTGGCGCATCACGTCAACTGCGCCTCGGACCTGCCGCACGCCCATCTGATGAAGTGCCTTCGCGAGAAGACGCTCGAGCAGCTACTCAGCGTGCCCATACGACCGCCCGAGTTCGGTTTTGCCTTTGGCCCCAGCATCGATGGCGTCGTCATCGATGGCGGCGACTATGTCCCACCCCCGCCCGGCTCGCCGGCCGCCCAGGCACAGGCTCAGGCCTCAACGGCAGCTGGCAACGGTCTGGGCGGAGAAGCGGGTATCGCAGCTGCAGGAGGCTGGGGCACTCCCGGCCAACTGGAGAATATAGGTGAGTGAGAATTCTTGAAGAGCCTCTCCGTATAGTGAGTGGGTATATTGAAATTGTGATTGTGTTTGTTGCATTAATATATACATATATTTATATCTTTAAGCACGCAGTTGTTTTAGCCAGGTTTCTGCTTGGGTTTGGGCTAGTATTCGAAGATAAATTAAAGTCCTAAAATACAGAGATTATAGAATCTTCAACTAAAATATATCAATGCTATAGAGATTTTGTATAAATAAACTGTAGAATCCATTTATGTATTTATAAATATATAAATGATAGCCGAGTCTGTTTTCTAAGTGTCCCAATTCATAATTGTCGCCTACTATTGCAGTAGTATTGGTGCGAGTGGGTTTGTGTCTTGGCTGCACGCTTCACAGCTCTAGAGAAAGAGAGTGAGAAGGATAGCCGGTCGTTGCTGAGTAAGAGTGGCACAGCTATTGAAGCCAAACGGGCAGTTAGTCGTGTCAGTGGAGGAGAGAGGCAACTATAAATCGGATGTATGTACCTCTATACATATTGTATATCCTTTGGAATATAAGATATATAGAATATTCTGCACAAATTAATATGTATATAATATTGTGCAAATGACATTTATATTTTTATAAGCTCATTCATTCTTCGGCTTGCCGAAGATAGACAATTTATCTGTCGCTAGCATCACCACAAATATATTTAATGCGATGCATTGCTGTCAATTTCTTTCTTCCCCAACTTGCCGCTGCGGCTGCTGATGTCAACTGACGACGACGGCGATGACGACTTGCACTTGTGAACTGCCATGTTCGCTGGCGCCATTAACCCACACTCACTCACACTCGCACACACTCGCACGTGTGTTGGCGTTTTTAATTAATGCAGTATTAATGAGAAAAACAGCCATTAACAAGTTGTCAAGGTAAGTTTTTTTGAGGCTCAGCTCGAACAGCCGCTGCTTAATTATTTTTGCCTTAACCCGCACACTGACATGCCCAGACACATAGCCGCCCACACGCACACACACATGTACATACACACAGCTTAAAAGTATGCAATGTAATTAATTTAAAGTTTCGACTTTGCCGACTTTTGCGTGCTGCTCAAAGATTTTATCTCGCCGCAGCGAACACTCAAAATGGCGCCAGCTTAGGCGACGATAAGCTTTGGCGCTTGCACCGCACAGCTGCTATGTTGACCATACAATAACACTCACACCCACGCACACACACGTACACAAGTATGCATACACACACACAGACACGCAGCCGCTTCCTTATTAATTTATGCACATTAACCACGCAAATGCGCGACTCCATTTTGCAATACAATTACAAATTTCGTAGGGACTGGGAAATGGGCTAGCAAGGGTTGATGTGTGAGCTGTGGGCTGTGGGTTGCGGGCTGTGGGCGTGGCCTATTGTTCTTGGCACCGTCACTTGATTTATGCACTTTGTGCTTTGCCATTTGCCATTGTTAATATATATTATTAACAGCTAATTAGCTGCGATTTCAAAATTTATGTGCAATTTGCGCCACTTTGATGAAAAATTAACAATTTCAAAAGGGTTAGAAAAACGACTACGAAATAATACAACAAATAATAAATTGTAATGATTTTAGAAGAATATAAAGCAACCTTGTCATTGTCATTGTCACTGTCATTGTCATTGTCATTGTCATTGTCATTGTCATTGTCATTGTCATTGTCATTGTCATTGTCATTGTCATTGTCATTGTCATTGTCATTGTCATTGTCATTGTCATTGTCATTGTCATTGTCATTGTCATTGTCATTGTCATTGTCATTGTCATTGTCATTGTCATTGTCATTGTCATTGTCATTGTCATTGTCATTGTCATTGTCATTGTCATTGTCATTGTCATTGTCATTGTCATTGTCATTGTCATTGTCATTGTCATTGTCATTGTCATTGTCATTGTCATTGTCATTGTCATTGTCATTGTCATTGTCATTGTCATTGTCATTGTCATTGTCATTGTCATTGTCATTGTCATTGTCATTGTCATTGTCATTGTCATTGTCATTGTCATTGTCATTGTCATTGTCATTGTCATTGTCATTGTCATTGTCATTGTCATTGTCATTGTCATTGTCATTGTCATTGTCATTGTCATTGTCATTGTCATTGTCATTGTCATTGTCATTGTCATTGTCATTGTCATTGTCATTGTCATTGTCATTGTCATTGTCATTGTCATTGTCATTGTCATTGTCATTGTCATTGTCATTGTCATTGTCATTGTCATTGTCATTGTCATTGTCATTGTCATTGTCATTGTCATTGTCATTGTCATTGTCATTGTCATTGTCATTGTCATTGTCATTGTCATTGTCATTGTCATTGTCATTGTCATTGTCATTGTCATTGTCATTGTCATTGTCATTGTCATTGTCATTGTCATTGTCATTGTCATTGTCATTGTCATTGTCATTGTCATTGTCATTGTCATTGTCATTGTCATTGTCATAGTCATAGTCATAGTCATAGTCATAGTCATAGTCATTGTCATTGTCATTGTCATTGTAATTATCATTGTCATTGTCATTTCCATTGTCAGTAATACATTGAATTTTAAAAATTTTACACAATCATTAATTAATATATAAGAAGAAATATGTAATGCAGAGGGAATATGTTCAAATGCCTGCAAATTTAGGAAAGCACGAAATGAAATGCGAAGATAAAGCAGTTTACATTTTAAAGCGACGCACTTAATGGGAATTGATGGCAGGGCTTATGCTGCGGATGAAGAAAGGCAGCTAGTTAAAAGCATATAACTCTTGTATATGTATATACGAGAGACATACATACATATGTATATATAGATAGATATGTAGGTGAACTGATAAAGCAACACTTAGGAATTGCTTCGAGCTGCAGTTTTGCAGCTGATGAGTCTGGCAGCTATTATTACTGCTAATACAACTGAAAGTGCAACTGCTGAATCGTTGCAGTTGTTGCTGACCGCTTTGTGGATAACTTTTTCATTCTTTTGGCCGGGCTCAGCGCTTGTAAGCTGTCAGTGCCCAAGAGGCTATTAGTCACAAGCTCCGCAAGGAGCATAAATATTACTTTGTGCACATTTAAAAGCAATTTGCTTTGAGTGCAAGACACACAGACATACACACTCAGAAAGATATATACATATTGAACATCACATACAAGCATTGGAATGCTTGCTCAATATTTTGCAAAAGAATTCCATTAAACACATGCAATAAGAGCAAATAAAAGAAATTTTTGGCACAGTATAAAATGCACCAAAAAATACAGCAAAATGCCAAATGGAAATAAAAGCGCCCTCAAAAAAAAATAAATAAAAATAAAAATAAGGGATATATATAGTGTACAACAAGCAGCAGGCATAGCATAAAAACTACTTTATCTATGCAAATAAGCAAAGATAAATTTTTAAGTGCAGCTCGGCAGCTGTGAAGTGCAGCGCAAGTAACTCAAAGATGCTTTTTCTTCCCCTGCTGTTTGTTGTTCAGCCAGCAAACTAGCAAATTTCTGACTAGCACTCGAGTTATCATGTTTAGCAAGAGTTTTGGGCTTGAAGCACAGCCAAAGTTTGAGAAGGCCGCAACATTTGAGTTGTTGGACAGTTAACTCTTAACTGATGAATTAGTTTGGCAAACTCTTTTGACATCATTTCTTAATCAGATTTATATTAAAATTAAGAAAGCACTGAGGGAATTTTATGAACATACTTGGAATTTGCTAGAATGAACTAAATATAGTAAGTTATTATATAAAGGCGAATATTATAAATGAAAATTGTATTTGAATTGGATTATTTAAAATTTTTGTGAATACAATACTTTGAAACATTATACCATAAACTGAGATCAGTGAGAGATTATAAGAATATATAGAATATCTGAAAAACTGTAAGTCTAAAATCTTATATTATGTATATATCATCTATATAGATTAGCTTTTTATATCCATGGCATGACTGTCCCACTTAATCAACATAACCTAACTAACGCACACATCAATCAGTTACACAACACTTAACAAATATCTGGGATAAGCCCCACAGAGACAGATGATTATTTAAAGATCTCGTTAGGGTGCGTAACATGCAAACGGAACGGCTTTAGTTTGTGCGCAGCAGGATACGCAGATGACAATCTTGTATCCATGAGATGCAGATACACGTACTTACGCACTTATTGCTCATTTACAGATACGACCTGATGGCTGGCGTGACACGTGCCGAATCCTTTTTCAGCTTCAATTCCGGCGACGTGCAATATGGCATCGAGGCGGATCGGCGTTCCCGTATTTTAAAGGCCTACGTACGGAACACGTACACATTCCATTTGAACGAGATATTCGCCACGATTGTCAATGAATACACGGACTGGGAGAGGCCGGTGCAGCATCCAATTAATATCCGGTGAGTAATTGCGTTTGTTCCACGTGAATCCCGAATTCTTGTTCTTCTTCGTATCGCTGCTCCCGCGGCACGACCTGCGGCTGTGATTGTGCGCCATACCCAAGGAAATATTTCGTTCTTAATTAAATGCGAGCTGCTACGTTTCTTGCCTTCGCCGCCAGCTCGGGAAGGGAGTTTTCAATTAAAGCGACTTAAATGAATCTTGATTTGTATCTTTTGCCAAGCGAAATGCCAATATTTTCGGCTCTCTGTTTCATAAATAATGACCAAAGTTTCATATTCAATATTCGATTCAATTCAATTCTCCTCTCAACTCCAACTCTTTGATGTCACAACCATAATTGAATAGCTTTTGATTTCCATCAGACCAACAACAACAACAATAACAACAAGAATTGCAATATTTGTATTGCATTTGCATTTACTATTTAGATTTTTTGTTGATGTTTGTTGAATTTTTGATAACATCACGAGTCTCTTTATTGAATGCATAATTTGATCAGCATACCATTTTGCCAAATTCAATAAAAATGAAAAATATTGTGTATACGCTACGGCGCCCTCGTCGTATACTTAATATGTAGTCTTTCTGCCCCAGTTATGCAAAAGTTCTGTTCAGCTTTTGTGCAAACGTGCGTTAAGTTGCCTGCAATGAAGCAGCAAACGGTTCATGCTTGATCTCTACCAGGATGCGAGTGGGCGTAGCAGTTGGGGGTGGTCGCCCGGCCTGCTATCGACAAGAGACTCGTGCGCATATTTCAAATGGATTTGATAGAAAGTCAACGATAAATACAATGAAAATAAATATTTATACAGAGTCTTGCCTGGGCTATTCAATATGCGCTGCGCGTGTCCAGATTAGGATATTGAATTTTAATGACATATCTATACTGACTTTTTATTCTGCAAAAACAACAACTACCTCGTTTAGTCGCTGGAAAATTCATAATAATTAAATTTCAAGTTAAAATAAATTAAAATCATTTTTTAAAATATGAGAGAAATTGTCTAACTAAAAACCATATGATTGGGAATTCAATATTCTTTTTAATAAAATATAAATAAAACTTTGTTATAAATCTAACTTTGAGTTTTCGCATACAATTTTATTTTTTATTTACTTAAAAGAAAATTTGGACTTATTTGCAATCATAGGAGCTCAATAAAAATGTTATATAAGAATAAATTTATTATTATAAAGCAAGAGAACGGGGTTTTCACAATATATAAACCCCTTACAGTTACAAATCTATGGGACGAGCTGCCATTCTTAAATTGAAATTTCAAGCATATTGTTCTATTCCCTACACCTGCCTATATATCAATGAAAGTCAGTCAATAAATAATCATCTCGCCATAATTTATCGCTAGTTATTTGAGAAAAAGAAAATACAAAGAAACCCACTCCACGCAGATTTCCCATTTTCATAATAATAAAAAGAAAAGTTAACTTTCCCTTCCACTTCGTGCCAAAGTTGGATGCACTTCCAGATGCATTTTTAGAGGCGCAGCAACAAGGCAAACAAAATATTGCTGCCGCTGACAAAGAAAAATGCTTGCACTTTAAATATAGTTTCATGCAGCCACATAAAAATATGGTGCAACACTGTGGAGCACCTTTTGCTTGGGAGCGTGAGATACGTATGCAAATGTGGCGAATGGTTTTATTCAAATTCAGCGCCAGCGCATCTCGAATGCATAAAGCGACACAAGAAAACGCACAAGGAAAATGCGAAAGACTTGCCAGCGAAAAATGACAGCAAATCAGACGCAAAAAGAATATTTTGCCAAATAGGCTTAGCGAGCCCAGAGGCAGAGCACTTCACCTGGACAGGTAAACAGTTTGTGGAGTGCAGCCAGAGTAGAGCTCCAAGTGGCCTGTTAGCTGCATACTTGAGCGCAAATAGCCGGAAAATTGCTATTTGACTCTAACACTTGCTCAGTCGCAGTCGCAGTCGCAGTTGCAGTCGCAGTTGCAGTCTCAGCCACTCACTCACTCAGTCACTGACCCATGGCTTCCTTTCTCCATTTCCTTGCAGCGATGAGACTTTGGAGGCCTTGAGTGATGCTCAAGTTGTGGCTCCAGCGGCTCAAACTGTGGACCTGCACTCGGCAGATCATCGCAACTCGTACCTCTATGTGTTCGACTACCAAACACGTTTCGGCGACTATCCACAGGTGAGTTTGTTAGCTCGACCCGAACTGTGCCACTGCAAGCATTCAACTAAACGTTGTTGCCTTTATTTATCAATTTGACAGCGCCAGGGCTGCATTCATGGCGAGGACTTACCCTACATTTTTGGTGCACCGCTCGTCGGCGGTTTGAACCACTTCACTCGCAACTATACGAAAACCGAAATCAGTCTATCGGAAATCGTAATGTTTTACTGGTCCAACTTTGTGCGCACTGGGTGAGTATTGATTGGGTCTGCGGTCGCATTGACCACAACTTTGTGTGCGTGTGTGGTTGTGTGTGTGTGTGTTTGTGTATTTTCCTGCTAACCCATCGACAATTTACGTCCATCAAACAACACAGCAATCCCAACGAACAAATGGAAACCGAACATGGCAGCCGGCAGGAACGCAGTCGCTACAAAACCATCGAATGGACGGCCTACGAGAGTGTGCACAAAAAGTATCTGAATTTCGGTGAGTGTTGCCAAATGTAACGCAATAATAGGCTATTGGGAACCAGCTGCATTATTGGTCTATGACAGTGCACCATTAGAGTATCTACATGTCCAAGTGAAGGAGGACTCTTGATTTGTTTTGTCAACTGTAAACTTTTATCTGGGTTATTTTCATTGTATATTATTGTCATTGTATCTTATTTAGAATATTAGACTAAGTTAGAGCGGGCAGTAGTTATAACGGATAAGGATTCTAATAGGCAATCAATCCATTGCAATTAACTCAGGAGAAATAGTTGCTTCATTGAAGAACCACAACTAAAATTTTAAGTGTTTTTCTACATGGGTTGATTTTTTATACTTCATTAAATGTATTATTAAACTTAAAGAAAAAATAAAATAAAATAAAGTAGAATAAAATAAAATATAATAAAATAAAACGAAAATAAGTAAAATCACATAATGAAAAAAATAAGTAAATATAAAAAATAAAATAGTATAAATATGAATTAAAAATATAAAATAAATAACGCAATAAAAAACGAAAACAAGTAAAATCACATAATGAAAAAAATAAGTAAATATAAAAAATAAAATATTACAAATATAAATAAAATAATATAAATGAAATAAAGAAATATAAAATAAAAATTAAATTAAATTATTTTAAAAAAAATAAATATAAAATTTTAAAAATTAAATGAAGTAAAATAAGTGTTCCGTCCGAAATTAAATTAAATTCAAATGAATTTGTTCTTATTCTATAAATTCTTAAATATTTCACATATTTCAAAACTAACCCTTTTTATAAGATATAAATATAGATTAGTTATTTTAATTGCTAAAAAAAATAAAAGCTCACAAATAATGCTCAACTAATAACAAGTTTGACAAATCGAACTCTGCTCGATCTGCATTTCTTCCACAGACACCAAGCCAAAGCTGAAGAATCATTATCGCGCTCATCGGCTCTCCTTCTGGCTGAACCTCATTCCCGATCTGCACAAGCCGGGCGGCGACAATGTGCCCGCTGCCCATCACCAGCTGCACGACGACGACGATGAGCTGGACAACAACATTGCCAGCGATGCCTCGGTGAAGCCCCTGAATCCCTCGTACACGTCGAGGGGTGCGAATGCCGCGGCCATGGGCAACTATACGATATTCACGAATCAAGTCTTCTCACTGCTGAATCTCAGTTCGCCGTCGTCCTCGCTGCAGCGCAACGGGACGCGTTACGGCGGCGGCAAGATCTATCCGGACGACATTTTGGATGCGGATCATGCGGCTGGTGGGGCGGCCAGTGCTTCGCAGGATAGCGACGGCTTTGCAGCCTACTCAACGGCGCTGAGCGTGACCATTGCGATTGGCTGCTCTCTGCTGATACTCAACGTCCTGATCTTCGCGGGCGTCTACTATCAGCGGGACAAGACGCGGCTGAGCGAGCCACGCAGCCAGACGAAGCTGAAGCGGCAGGAGAATGGCCAAATACCCAACAACATCTGCGGCGACCTGGAGACCCTGACCATCCATGCAAAGAGCGATCCGGCCACCATACTGTCGCATCATCATGCCATGCAGCATCATCAGCTGCCGCCGCCGGAGTTCGCTGACATTCCGCATCGCGCGCCGCCGCCGCCGAAGCACATGAAGTCGTCGCTGCAGGACGCCGGCCAGGTGGGCGGCGGCGGAGGCATGATGCCGCCGCCCCATGCGCTGCAAGTGCTGGGCAACCAGTGCGGCACGCTGACCAAAAAGAGCTGCATGAAGCAAACGCAGGCCACACAGCAGCAGCAACAGCAACAGCAGCAGCACTCACCCGCACAGCAGCAACACGTGGTAACGCATCAGCAGCATATGCAGAATCATCATAATCAGAGCATGACCACGGTGCTAACCACTGCCGGCGGCCTGATACCCGTGCCCCAGCCACCCACAGTGCCCGTAATTGTGGCAACCACAACGCAACAGCACGCACAACAGCAACAGTCGCAGCAGCAGCAGCAACAGCAGCAGCAGCAGCAACAACAGCAGCAGCAGCAACAACAACATCCGCTGATGGATGAGCTGCGTGTGTGACATTAATTGACGGTGCGTTTCAAATGTGATCTCTAAGCTCAGATCATCTAAGCGCACAGTCCGAACAGCCGTTTCAAACTGAGTGTGTATGAATGTCTGTGTGTGTGTGTGTGTGTGTATTTGTGTGTTTGTATTTGTGTGTCTGCTGTGTTAGTTGATTCAACTGTGCTGCATTCGCTAACAGAGTTTGTTTATGTTAGCTGCCTGCTGTGAATGTTAAGCTGCATATGTTAAATAGTTCATTTTAACATCAGTTTTATTGTATATAAAAAGAAATTAAAAATATTAGTGGTGTTAAGTTTAGTTGTTGTCATTCTCCAAGCAATTAGATAAACAATTTTATTGTTTCAATTTTCCCAATAAATTATACTTTATTAATAAAAAAAAAAAAAAAAAAAAAAAGAAAAAGTTCCATCTAGGACCAATTCACAGTTCGGCAAAACTATTTCAAATGAGAAATCCATTTCAGTTTGAACACATAAAAACGATTCACAAAATATTAAACAATTATATATTCCAAAATATATATGTATATGTATAAAACCAATATAAATGTTATTCTTCCAAAGACTGAATTCATATTGTGTATGTGTGTAAATAATATAAAGGCCTAGCTTTTAAGCTGTACAACATCAACAACACCTAATCCAAAAAAATATTTAATTTAAATAGCATTAAAAAATTTGCAAAATACAGTTAAAAGACAATTAAGTAAATAAATAAACAGGAAATTACATTTTATTAATTTTGCGGTTCCATGTAAAAAAAAAAAAAAAAAAGCGTTATTAGTTTTTATTTTTTTTTGTGTTATTTTGATATAAAAACCGCTTAAACACCTTTTGTAGCCCAATTTCAATAGTAACCAATTTAAGCCTTTAATGAAAATCAGAACACTTTGACAAAGAGGACAAAAAATTGGTATTGTTAATTATAAGCCTGCAGCTACTTTGTTATGCGACTAACTAAACCACATAAATATTTATAAAGCTATTAACATTAAATGCATAAAAAAAAAAGGAAAATCAAGCAAACCAAAACATACGAGGTAAGAACGCGCTCGACTAGCAGATGCCCTGTACTCAGATATAAATTGGATTTCAGTTATGATGTTTCTGCATTAAAATATTGCAAATTTTCAACTAGTTCGCAAATAAATTGTTAGACAAACATCAGCATTTTACACTTACAACAGATGCCGGGTACAGGGTAGAGCAAAAAATAAATTTGTAAACATAAAAAGAAGAGGAAGAAAAACACACTGCTACTAGTTAAAAATTCAATTAGACAGTGAGTGTTAAGCGCGCATAATATATAAATAAACAATATAAAATGTTCAGTTTTTAATTTTAAGTAATAGTGAAAATGTCGAAAATGTAATTAAAAATGAAATTGAGTTGCGAAAATGCGCTATAAAGCAGCTCATTAAAATGAAGTAGCGCGAAAATTACTACAATTAAATTTGCGTGCATGTGGAAAATAATTGTAAATTAAATAAAAACAAACAGAACACAGAAAAAGAAAAGCAAAACAAAAAACGAAAGACAAACATATTTAGAGACAGTAAAAACAAATGATATAGTAAATGAAATGAATATGTAAAACTCTATAGCTCTATAGCTTATGTGTATGCGTATATATAGTATATATAGTGTAACTGTAATGATGTAAAACTAGCAAATATATATATTATTAAATATATGTATGTATACATAGCAAACCAAAAGGAAATAAAATTAATAAATAAATAAACAAAATATATATGCATATTTATAGTGTGCTGCATAATTGAACAGGAGAAGAAAAAAAAAAACAAAAACAAAAAACAAACAAAAAAATGAAATGAAATATTTAATACATAAATTAATTCAAATTTATTGCATTAGAAATGTGTACGAGTGAAAAAGTGCGAAAAAGTTCACTAAAGTCTCAAAAACAAAACAAAATAAAAAATAGAACAAATTTAAAACTAAATAAAACAAACTGTTAAAAAAACTGTTCAAACGGTTTTTGATAAAAAAAAAAAAAAAAATAAAATAAACATTTCAAATGGAAACCAAAACAATTTGAGTACTAATAAAGTTATAAAAATGTAAAAAACAAATTATAGAAATTATTTTGTTATTTAGCAAACTCTATTGAATGCGCTTTAAAGCATTGAGGGAAAGTGCTTTAAGATATTTCGGGAAATGTGCTTGCAATGCGGAAATGGCTGCGTAAATAAATGGCTATAACGAGGACTTTAAGAGGCAGTTAAGGCGTCGGATCAATGTCTGACGATGAATGTGTATGTGTGTGCTTACATGTATATAACAAATATAGCTTCACACACTCGCATGCAGCTGTTAACCAAATATGCTGATGGTCTGGCAACTACATAAAAGAGCTCCAAGTCTTATAATGCTTCCATTGATACGTAAAGGCAGCGAACGATAGATAAAAGCTGAACACACACACAAACACCACATACACACATATCACATACGCTATACACATACCGAAAAAAACGAAGAGAAACCATTGAAAATAGATTTATTATGCAAATTTGCCAAAGCATAAGTGAATACATGCCAGACGACTCGCTTAAATATACCCTGTAATCAATAAAAATACGTGCGGAGAGTGTGACATAGACTAGCTGGTAGCTATGGCGCAGATAGAAACTGATAAGGCAGCTAATGATTTAGATTTATTTTCTATTTTCAAACAAATAATTTATTATTATTTTTTTTCTTTAACTATTTATTTATTCACTCCTTATCAAAAATAATTTTTTTTTTTTTATTTTATTTATTTATTTATTTATTTTTTTCTTTTTTTTCAAGCCATATGCGGTAAATTTATAATTCATTGTGAATAAGGTAAACAATTCCCATGTCGTTAGACTAGCCAACAGGTCGCTAGCTTACAGGGTATTTCTATTGCCACTATTATTCTATGCGAGGATTGTTTTATAGCATGCATGGTGCAAGGCTTGACTGCTTAATTTGTGAAAAAAAGATATATATATGTACATATATTTTGAAGGAGGGCGTGGCTTTGGTCTATTCTAAATGTTTGCCCTTGCCAAACTGAGAGCCGTGGCAAAGGGAATGGCTCGGAGCTGGCTCAGATAGAAAGTATGGACTATGTAAAGCTTGCATAATTCACATGCGTAATTGAATAAAAACATTTTGGCTAAATTGCTGCCAACATCGTTAGCCGCTTTCTAACCATTTTCTTTTTAGCTCAAGATTTGCGTGATTTTTATTAGTTGCGATTCGGAGCTAGGATAAATCCAATAAGGAAAGTACGCACACACACATACGTAGGGAAATGTCAAGGAAGCATGGAGCAGGCACTGGGCCAAAGAACTTGGCACATAATCCCTTTAAATGTCTACTTCGAGCTGGAGCTGGAGCTGGAGCTGAAGCTGCAGCTGGAGCTGGAGCATGGGGAAGGGTTTTGATTTCAACAAAAGTTTCGCATTTTATTTTTGTAGTTTTTGCATGTGTTGTGCTTCGCTATTATTGCAGAGCAGCTGGAGCAGAGGCAGCAGCCAGAGCAGGAGCCGGTGCCGAGTAAGGAACATGCTCGCAATGGGCGTGGCATGCTGTGAGTGGGCGGCTGGCTGCCACATGCTGTGCTTAATTTATTAGCACAAGCTTGAAAATTAAATAATAAAAGCCCCTGCAAGTGGCTCTGTGTGAATAGAAATTATCACTTTTAATGTTGCCAAAAAGGTCACGACTCAACAGTGCCTCGCCCGACCGAGAACGGGCCAGGGGCAGCTCAGCTGGGCGTGGCGCCAAGGACTGGGTAACGCTCAGCGCTAAAAGTTGGTAATTTATGTTGCCAAATCTGTTGGAAATTGCTTTATACGCTAATAAAAGTATTTGCAAAACAAACAAGTCCATTTAAGGTGAGCGAGCGGGAGGCACAGCCAAAATAAATAACATGTTGCCCCGTGCTCTAGTATATAAGCTGAAGTAATCTATTTAAGCACTTACAAGAGCATAAATCCCATTAGAAATAATGTGAATGTGAATTTGATACATTACTTAAGAGTTTCAAATTGAATTAAAATGCACCGACCTGAAACTATTAAAGTAACCAATTGAGAATTTTATATGCATCATTCAGTTTTAAATAGATCTACAAATTCATAAGGGACTTGTTTTTAATACTGAGTGTCAGTGTTTTTAGTCTATATAAGTGTGAATAGGAATAAGAGGCGCTAGTATTGTTATTAACTATCGATACCTAACTGTAAGGCTTTCGTTACCCTTTACCTAAAGACAATCGACACTCAAGTAGAATGTCATCAAAGGAAGGAGCAGAACCAAAAACGATAACAGCAGAGCCCAAAAAAAGAAAAAAAAACAATTTACAATAGATCCTAAAATATATTACAATATATCTAGCAATGAACAATTATGTAACCATATTATTGGAAAAATTGGATCAACATACATCAATATTTGTATTTCTTACAATGCTCTTTATAATGCACCAAGCATTTGGCACAATCTGTACATGCATCATTCAATTACACCATTTATCGGGTAAACTTCCTCTCTTTGAACTAAATTTATTTATACAATGTACCTAACGCACGGCAAATAGCATTTCAGATGGCCATAAACTTATTATAATGAACCTAACAATTTCTGTTAAAATATACATACACTTAATGTTTCCAGTTATAAGGAACTATAAAAAAGTCCGTACAAAGGCCAATGCAGTACAGAGGTGGGATATAAAATGACTTACTCTTAAATACTTGCAGCGAACCTAAAAATATTACTTATAGTGTGCCAATTTCTGGGCCCTTTTGCATCATTTAGTAAGGGAACTTAAACTTACCCCAATCAATTATCACATGTTTCCACTTATAATTAACTATAAAATGTTTCTTAGTATGAAAGTTTAAATATTTTATATCTATCATATACACAACATAGTCCACCAGTTAGGGTATTTAGCAATTACCCTACTTAAGCTTAGCATTACTTTCTTTGTTGTAAGCAAAAAAAAAAAAAAAAAAAAAAAAAAGCGGAAGCAAAATGAGAAGTGCAGAAAAAGTATATCAAGCTAAACTCCATTGCAACGAGTTTTGTCCAGCTAAAAAGTTTTTAGCACATTTCGTTTTATTGCACATCAGCGATAATCCAAACCAAAATTGAGTGCACAGTTCCGCAGAAGAAATCCAATTTGAAGCCAGAGTACGAAAAAATATAAAACACGCCCGAAAATTCCACGCAGAAAATTTGATGCTGCAAAAACGTAGCACAAATTTAAAAATTCCGCACAATTTGCACAACTTTCCAGTTGGGCGGTGAGGGGGTGGTGGATGTTTTGTGCTGCATAAAAAAAAAAGAAAAAAAACTAGATGTAACATATAAAAAAGTTTAATAGAACTCCTGGCGTTG